AGAATCAAAGAGAGAAGTCAGGAAGAGAGAGAGAGAGCGATGTAAATTATAAATGAGAGAAATCAGAAGCAGGCTGCTGCTGTTGTCACGTTGTGTGATTGTGTTTCTGGTGTGAGGAGTGATAGTTTAGTGTGGACTGACCCTCACTCAAGTCCCCCTAACTAATTTGATTTTAGATTGGATTGGCTCTCTTCGTTCTTCTTTTTCTTCGTAAAGAATAAATTGGATTGGTTTTTTCAGTTCCATTTGAGCATGTTACAATCATGATGGGGCTGACCTCAAATTTTCACCATTTAAAATACAATTATTCATGTATTTTCATGACTCAAAATTTTTTTTTCCTCAACCTTGCAGTCCTATAATTTGAGTCCATAACTTTATTAAATTATTTAAAAATTATTAACCCTTAAATTTTTTTTCTCATTAATTTTTCTTGATATTATTTTTGTTTCAACATTTGTGATTTAATTTTCTAAACATTTTAACATAAAAAAATTAAAATTCTAAAACATAATAGAATTTCACTTAAAAAAATAAAAATAAGTACAATAACATTTTATTTCATGGACTTTAAAAGTAAAAACAAGTAGCACACGATTTATATTAAAAATAATGGAACCACACGATTTTTTTTAAAGCGGCACAATCCATGGAGCTGCTACTTTTGCATATGCCCGAAATAATTCGAACCCTTCATTGAAGCCATTGCCATAATTGTCTTTCATTTTCACTTTTACTTTTACTTCATTGGATTCTTTATTCTCATTCAATAATGTTCTGAACTTTTGCCCGCCTCTACTTGTGTTCTTCAATTATTTTCTAAATAATTTCTCATCCCATATTGTCTTGTTTCTATCATGTTCTGAACCATTGCTCAACTTTGTTCATCTTACTTTATTGAATTCCCTTATATTTCCCTATCTTTTCCTATATTTTCCTATTTTCATTCAATTATTTTCAAATATGTAGGTCATCTCATTCTCTTGTCTATTTAAGAAGTGTTATTCTACCGAATTGACCACACAATCTTCTTCAATCTCATGCCCCTTCTTACAATGAATTCACGTGGGAAGGCCATACAAATTTTCTTCAATGATGATTCTGATGATGATGACCTTTATCAACAGAGGGGTGCAATGGCCGTTCAAAACCATACGTTTTTGTTGGAGCAATATGCTCAACAATCCAAACATGGTGGTTTCGTTGTAGGCTGTGAATACAAGAATCAGAAGAGAGAAAAATATCATAAGAATCTCATGGAGGACTACTCTATGAAAGACTACTTTATCCCCCAGTGGACTTTCGCAAACAGTTTCGTGTGAGAAGAGAGCTTTTCTATCGCATTTTGAATGATGTTGTTGCACATAAGCCATACTTTACCCAGAAGATAGACGTTTGTAGATGACAAAGTCTATCCCCAGAGCAGAAGCTAACGACTATTTTTCGAATGCTCACATATTGATGCTCGGCAGACTCTACTGACGGGTACTGTAGATTAGGTGAATCTACAGCCCTTGAATGTTTACAAAAGTTTTGTTCCGTTATTGAAGCCGTGTATGGTCAGTGGTACCTCCGTTCCCCAAATCCGGCCAACCTTTACAAGCTCTTGCACAAGCCTAGTTGCAAAGGATTCCCAGGCATGTTAGGCAATCTCAACTGCATGCATGGGGAATGTAAGAACTGTCCCATTGCTTGGACAGGCTAGTTTACCGACTATAAGCATAAGCCAACTGTTGTTCTAGAGGTAGTGGCCTCATATGATACTTGGATATGGCATGCCTTTTTGGAGTCGCCGAATTGAACAACGATATCAACGTCTTATCTCGTTCCCCGTTGTTCAATGATGTAGTCAATGGAGTGTCTCCCCATATCCAATATGTTGTCAATGAAAATGAATACAATCTAGGTTATTACTTGGCTGATGGTATCTACCCTCGTTGGGCTACATTGGTTAAGACGATTTCCCAACTGAATACTCTTAAAAAAAAGACTATTTTCCCAAAAACAAAAGGCTTATATGAAGGATGTCGAAAAAGCCTTTGGAATACTTCAGGCTCAATAGGCAATTGTTTAGGGACCTGCACATATGTGGCGTAAAGAACAACTTCATTCAATCATGATGACGTGCATAATATTGCACAACATGATTGTTGAGGATGAGTATGAGGATCTAGATGCAGAATCTGATGATGATGATAATTGTCCATGACCATTTAGAAGAGCAAGAACAAGACTTGCTTATGAGCTTGAGCCAACTATCACATACAATATAAATTGAGACATTCAAACTATCTTAGACTACATGGTCCGTCATAATAGAGTTCATGCTTCGCAAGTGCATCACAATCTAAGAAATGATTTGATTAACCACATTTGGAGATGCGAAGGAGAGGGGCAATGAGCTACGTTGTGTGTTTAAATTTTGTAAGTGTGCTTAAATTATGTAAGCGTGTTTAAATTATGTTGTGTGTTTAAATTATGAAAGTGTGTTTAAATTATAAAA